CTTTGAGATGGCTGAATATTTTTCAGGACGGTTCTGGGACGGTTTTGTTAGTCTGGAGCCCGGGACTGTCATTGACTTTTAGACTCTACTGTGGATTACGACATCTAATCTGCTGCATTGAAACACTACTATTATTCTGTAAAGACAAAGAACTCCAGATACTGTTTTACTGGCTTGATTTGTTACAGTTCATCATTACTGATAATCTTTGTGTTTACACCTTAATGAAAGGTGCACTAGATGTAGATGTGAACCCTTAAAATTTAGAGCTGTCTTTTCTTTCCATATAGACCTATATGTATTACATGGTATCTGTGCATTATCTACCGGGGGGCAAAGAGGCCACAGCAGGCCCAGGCTTGAGTTTCTCAGGGAGGATAGCATTTCTGTGCTGTTGTATCGGAGGCTGTCATGATGGAGGCCAGGTTACGGGAACAGGAGTAAGAGCTGCTTGGAGAACGTTGAGAAGCTTTTCTTTGTTCCTCTTGTGAAGACGTCTGTCCGCTTTCCCCCGTTAGGGCTGCAGGTCATTTTCAGGTGATCTATTTTCATTTGGGGCTTTTTGTTCTTCTCTGCCTATTGGTCAGTTTTGGAGAGCTGTCAACATTGCAACTTCTCAGACTACTCAGTGATATACGCGAAGCTCCTTCTGTCAAACATGGTGCTTTATGTTGACCACATATGGGACGAAGAGGGCTAGACACAAGCTACTGTACACTGGCTTATTTAGAGGTTGTTCACTTCCCTTTTGAGAGAAACTTCAGAACGTACTATTAGAAGGTGGTATTGTGGAAATTGTCCTTTGACCAGGAGTGAGTGACTCAGTTCTGGACGTATCTAGATCATTAAAATGGAAGTGTTAAATGACAACACTCATCTTATTTTGTCTCATGTGGTCACCCTATGGCCTTTTGGTCCAACTTGCACTGGAGGTTAATGGTTTCGGCATGATAAGAGGAAGGAACTGCTCTCTTAAGTCATTTGAGCGGCTCTGCCTCACTCATGTTTTATTCAGGACCACAGGATGGAAAGAATCACCTGAGAGAGTGGCCGAGTGAGGTGGAGAGCAGCAACTGTCCTCCTGCTCCCCCACCGGAGCAGCGCTCATTGGGATGGACAGTGCTGACAGAGGACCAGAGATTTGCCCTGCATTATTTATAGCCAGCCTGAGCTTTTAATTATAAATGCAGTATTATGCGATTGGGCTGAGCCATATCCGACTCTCCCTGGCATCCTGTAGCAGGCTGATGAAACCGCAGCCCAGCATGGTTGGAGAGCGGAGGGAGAAAGGAGACTTCACTTTGGGAAATGACAGATAAAGTACAAAAATATAAATATTATGAGAGATCATAATTGTTTATCTCATAGATAGCAATAAAATAATGACACCACTTATTCTGTATTTGGATGTAATCTCTTCACAACGTACACAGTAATACATTTCATTAATGTTTATGAACATGACGTCTTATTTTTTAATATAATTCTTGTAGTTTAATAGAATAACTAGTTCAGTGCTCTGATTACACTTGATTACTTAGGCTTAAGCAGCCTAAGTTTGTGCCAGAACTGACATGACATTGCAGCAAAGCGGAACATATTTAGAGTGCTCTGTACATGCTTGTAGTGTAGCTTGTGGCAGGAAGCGATAAATATACTTGAAACTTTGGGTGTGGTGACTGCATGCCCCTACTGTTTTCATTAGAGTTGTTCACCCAGCACTTGAATGCACTTCGAATGTTCGCAGTCGACCATTATGTGACTGTGTAGGACCATGCATGCGGTCAATGTGAGAGCCACACTGATAACCCAGCGGTGCGGTGCAGACGCTGAGTGGCTACTGCCTTTGATCCAAAAAGCTCTTCATTTAGCTCTTCTAAAATAAAAACCACTGATGTTTACTGTTTGTTTTCTGTCAGTTAGCCTGTATCTTCTCCCAAAATGTTTAATGCTGGATGATTTCAAAATGGATTAAATCTAATAAGGCAGGGTTGCAGGTATTTTTCCACTGCAGAAATTGTTCCAACATCTGTTGACCTTCACACTCACTTAATTTCTGAGTTTTGACGCTTAGTCACGCTGTCATTTATGGACACCTCTGGCTATGTGTAATCATTAATTGATGCATTTCGCACATCGGATGTGCTTCTCCTAATTGGACTTATGTGGGATTCATCCGCACATGCGCTCAAAAATGGCGTATGCTTTGCTGATTATCAGCATATGACAAATCATTCATTTGGATGAAGCGTTCTGCTCCCACACTCTCCAGTAATTACAGTTTAGGTGGAGATTGTGTACAGAATGGAGATTAATCATTGTTTCAGTCAGCCAGTGAAATGCCAAATGCTCAAGGTTCAGTGTAATTAAGGAAATAGGAATGTAAATGTCACGCTGGCAGAATGAAAATAAACAGCTGTGGAAATTCAGGCCGCCGGCGCACAACAGGCAGATGATAGATTGAAACGGGCTCTTTTTCTGACTGTTTAGCCGTATGGTCAGAACTCTGTTGGCAGCAATAAATAATGCAAATTTAAAGGTACTTTTAACCACATATATGTACGCTTGAGTGTGCTCTATGAAGCATTATCAGGTGTTTATGTCCCTGTTCCTAGAAGTGACTGGTTCAGTCAAGCATGGCTGTTATGTAGATTATGTAGATTACGAGAGCAGTCTCTTGCCCTCTTGCCTGCAAAGTTAAGCATGTGCAAATGCAAGAAAACTCAAGGAAGAGTATGTAAAACAGCTTAACTAAAGCTAGTGGTAAATAGTGTCATTTGCATATGGTAATTGGTGCCAATGTTGAAGTGGCATTAGTATTACAATTTTCAGCACAGGCTACTAAAAAAAGATGGAGTTATGGGAGATTAAGCTCTCAATGAAGAGCCATGTAGCCATCATGCGTTCTGCAGCAGTGAGAGTCGTGTCACGCTTTTCACATGAACAAAGCAGATTTTTTTTCTTCCTTTCTCTTTCGTTTTCTGTGCTTTTGTTTATTGAGCTGTCACATCAGACATTCTATGACTCATAAGCTCTTATTCATGTTAGCCTAGTTATTAGTGCTGTTTTCTCCTGCCCTCTGTGTGTTGCCCGTGGAATTATGAAAAGGGCCAAAAATTACATCACCTCAATCAAAATGCGTAAACGCCAAATGCATGTATGCCAAATTTTTTTTATAGTGTACGATTTTTGCCAATCGTACAGCTAACCCTGCAGCCATGATTGAGAATCTGTGAACCGAAGTCTCTTGAACCAATATCCAGTCTGATTCATCACATCAAGTTCATCCAAGTATGGCATAATAGCGCATGGTGTGCTGATGAGCAGATGAGAAACGAGCTGAAGGAGCCAAAAGCGAAAATAGTTGAGGAGTTCTCCAGAGTGAAGCATCATGGGAGTTAAGGCTTGGCAGAATTCCATCTATGCATCACCAGAGGAACTTGGCCAGACTGGCTTGTCCAGACCCTGTAGACCAGGTGTGTCCAGATCTGGTTCTGGAAGGCTTTAATCCACACCGTAGGGATTTCCTTAATCAAACACACCTGATTCAACACTACAGTTAATTACCAGGTTCAGTAGGTGTGCTTGAGCTCGGAAATCACCAAACTATGTTGGGCTTCAGCCTTATAGAACCAGAAATAGACATCCCTGTTATAAAAACATAAGTGCAGAGGTGAACTACATGCAGCATAAGCTTTTCTAAAAGCTGCTATAAAATGGTGGTGCAAGAACAAGCTTTTATCAAAAGCAAACATCCTAGCAGAACCTGCTGGTACACTGTAACCATTTGTGTCCATACTGCAGTTCCACTGTGCACAATGAATAGCTGTGCTTTTGGATAGGATTATTTTCTTGATTTTTATTCGTTGGATTGATGCTCTGACCTCTATTCTTGGATCAAGCAGAAGGCAGGAAATTGCATTTATTGGACGGTGGCACGTGGTCCTCACCAAATCCGCCTTTGATGAGTTTAGAGGGCTTTCTTTTCTCTGTTTTTCTTTTCCTCTTGTCTTTCACCTCATAGATTTTTCCTGTGAGGCTGAGCTAATGATCTTGTTTAACTTGTGCTTAGTCACTGACCCAGAATGCTGTGCTGCTTTTCAGTGCTGCTCTGTGCTGATTTTCTCTCTCTCTCTCTCTCTCTCTCTCTCTCTCTCTCTCTCTCTCTCTCTCTCCCCATGCTTCTTTCTCTGTGTCACTCCTGTCCTCCCTCTGTTTTTTCTCTCTTTGTCTTTCTCTCTTGCCCCCTTGCTCTTCCCATGTTTGCTTAAAAGCAGGTAGATCTGTCAGTGACTTACATTTTGGTTGCCCCTGCCTCTCATGAGACAGAGCCCTGACTTGACCCCTTTTTCTGCTTTTGCAAAAGGATCTTTACTTTGCTGCTTGCGCAGACCTACACTCTTGGCTCTCTTTCACTACTCTCTGTTTCAGAAACCAGCAGATATTAACTTACACACTTTTACAGCACCAGTAGGCACAGACAATACAGCCGCAGGCTTTCATAGCCATCCGCTGAGTAAAGAAAACAGTTATTGAGATTAATCCTAGACTAGCAGGCATATGGTCAGACTTGCACATTACAGAGGACTCACAGTTTAATGTGGACAACCCTGATTATCTGACAGGATGTAGACCCAAATCTAAGTCCAAAGGTAGTTGGTAATTCTGCTTTGAATAGGTCTGTAAATGTGTCTGCTGGAGGCTGCTGTTGGGATTAGGCTCAAGTCCCATCAGTTCTTCCAGGATATGGTGATGTTTTCAGGGCTGTTTGGCCATTTTGGCGGCTCTCCAGATGTACATTACCTCCTCCTCTCCTCCTTCGCTGGCAATGCAGCTCTACTCTCGTCTAGATTGTAATCAAAGTCAGTTCGATACATGATTTATCTGTAACTGCTGTACTCTACTGCTGAATTCTAAGAGATGAATGAAACGCATTCATTGCATTTGTGTATGTTTCTATATGTATGTATCATCGGCTTCTCTGTCCTTCTCTCCTGCAGGAGTTGCTGGGTGTGTTTTGCCACAGATGAGGACGATCGTACAGCTGAGTGGGTTCGACCGTGCCGATGCCGTGGCTCCACTAAGTGGGTGCACCAGGCCTGCCTGCAGCGCTGGGTGGACGAGAAGCAGCGGGGCAACAGCACAGCCCGTGTAGCCTGTCCTCAGTGCAATGCAGAGTACCTCATCGTCTTCCCCAAGCTTGGTATGTTGAATACTGCGGCAAAGTTTTACTTAGTAAGCAGCCAAAAAAATAAAAAACAGAAAATCGAAGAGCAAAATGGTCGACTGAAGCAAGTACTTGGGTACTCTTAAAGCAAAAGTGCAATGGTCTGAATAAGAGCAGGTTATTCAGGATTAGCGCTTGGTTCACTGACATTTTTAAAGACTTTGTTTTTTATGATTGCACTAAAAGGGCCTTAGCTGAAAACCAGCCTTCAAGTTACAGCAATTCTTAACTGGGGTTTTAATATGCGTAGAGTCAGCTAAGGTGCCCAGTGCTTTTCAGGACAAAAAGACTCACTTTAAAAACTCCCTGTATAATTAGTTTGCACCACCAGTCTGGCGGAAAGGGCAGAGAGAAAATAGGACAGTTTTGTCACAGGGATTTTCCATGTATTCTTTTTAACAGCCTCAGAAAGTTTGGCCCTGATGTCTGATACGTCTCACCTGAAAGGTGTATCTTTTTTTACAACATGTCCCCATGACTGCACTGTGGCATTAACCCCCCTTACACACACACACACACACACACACACACACACACACACACACACACACAAACTGCAGTGAATACCCTTTGCTGACCCAGCCAACAATGCCTTCTCCAAAAACAATCCAGAGTTGTCCTGAGGAGGTCCCTATCCACTAACCTCTTTCGACAATTGAACATTGCAAGGGCAGATCTCAGAAATGTGATTGAGATGTTTGAGAGAACAGGAGCTTTCTAGTAGTATTTACAGGATTTTGAACATTTGCATGTAAGAATACCAGTTGCTGGAAATGCTAAGATGCACAAGGCTACCATCTATGTACACTGTGTTCTCTGCGACTGACTAATCACAATACATAGCAAATAAATACTCGAAAATGAGATATTGCCCATGTTATGCTGCCCTAATCCATTCAATTCTGAGTCCAGCGCCTAAGCCACTTACAGCTAAATGGTCTATGTGTGCTCCAGTCCATCATGAAGAAAACTCTTCACGTGGAGATGTCTATAACTGCAGTGATATGTTGATGTTATCAATGAGAATTTTCTTAATTGATGTGTAATTATTTAGTGACATGTCCTTTTAGACAAATTAGAGAGAACACTGTGATTAAATTGCATTATAAATGTGAGGTTCAAAAATGGCTATCTTGACAGGTCTACCAAGTTTTTAAGCTATCACTGGAACAAAGCAGTGTGGTCAAATCTTATTTAGACAGAGCCATCAATGATGGTGTAATAAAGTGATGTGATCACTGGCACATTATATCATTATTGCATTTATAGCTGACAAGGTTAATATTAACTTATGTGTTAGCCTGGCCCAATGTTCAGTGATCACATATAGAGTGACCAGTCATAAAATGCCTGAGCTAAGTACCAGGTAATGAACAGAATAATTAGCCTACTGACCTCCAGCTCACTTTGGAAAATGGGAATTCTATTTTGCCTTCCTCTCCCAGCCAAACTCTCCTTTTTAAATACTTATTTTATATACTTATAAATATATATATATATTTTTTTTTCAAAATAGAACAGAATTCTAAGGCTTTTTAATATTTTTTCTTGGCCAAAAAGAAGGTCAGTGTTGTCGTTTTCTTGTGTTCTTGATCTGTTGCCTGAAAATCTTTGTCATATAATCAGACCTGCAGCATAACTGAATTTGCACAGTATACCGTACAATTTGGCCATAATTGTATGTGCAGATTTGTATGCAGCGGGCTTAAGATGGTTCACTTTCTTCATTAGAGTGAAAAAAGGAAGGTTCCTAGTAAAATGTATTTAGTCATCTTGCTGACACAACGGGGTCTTCATCAGGCATAACAGGGTCTCGGCTACATGTCAGACGTTCAGTAAACCCTTCAGCGCTTTCAAAATACAAACCTCCACTCTGGGTCAGCTCTGTCGGCTTACAGTTTTGAAGGAGGAACAGTGCTTTAGAATAAGGTAACATTATCTGTCAGAGCTGTTGTGCGTTGCATGGTTACTGGTACATTGTGGTCAAAGTGATCCATAAGCAGTAGGCCTGAGTGTTACTTTGTGCACAGCTTTTCTCTGCCGGTGGCAGTAAACAGGGCACTGGGGTATTTTTAGAGCGCTTGCTGTGTTGCCAGTCATGGTGTGCTATATTTGCCATACTGGACTCACCAGCAGGCTAGAGCACAGTGTCCAGTGCACATTCCGTCACTGTAGTTATATTCTCCATGGCTATATATGTATCATGACTGGATTTGCTGACTTTTAGATTGTATATGATGCATGATTTGTGTGGTAAAGGGAGATATACTAAACAAATGTTTATGAACTATATAAAATATATATCAACGTCACAGGACGTCACAGCCGTAAGTGGACATTTTGATTAGCACACAATGTTATTTACAGTTGTACTTTTATATTTGATAAAAATGGAGAAGAATAAAATACTAATTGTTTTGTGTGCAAAAGTTTACTTAAAAGGACATCCTAATAAGTATTTAGTAACGCCCCTTTGGCAGATATCACAGCTTGTAAAAGGCTTTTCTAGTCAGCTAGGCGTCTTTCTGTTGTTTAGGGAATTTTCACCCCTATTCCTTGCAGAACACTTCTAATTCTGCTATATTCTTTGGCTATCTTGCATGCACAGCATGTGTAAGGTCTGCCTACAGATTTTCAATGATATTCACGTCAGGGGACAGTGAGGGCCATTCCAATAGTTTTTGCATACTGTTCATGGTAGATTTTGAGGTATGTTTTGGATCATTGTCCTGTTGTAGAAACCAGCCTCTTTTCATCTTCAGTTTCTAAACCGACGATGTCGCATTTGCTTACAGGATTTACTGATATTTAGCAGAATCTATTCCTCCATCTACTAATGCAAGGTTTCCTGTGCCAAACATACCATGATTGTAGCCACAGACATCCATTTTTACTTCATCTGTGCACAACACTTGTTTCCAAAATGTTTCTGGCTTATCTAAATGCATACTTCAGATGTTGACTTTTGTGATGAGGTATGGTAAGGTTTTCTTCTGATAATTCTTCTATACAAATCAAGTTTGTGCAGGTCTTTTGCTGTCATATGGGGGTTTTGCTTTGCCTTTCTAGCCAGCATACAAGCAGTTCTGTTTGAGTTTTCTTGGTCTTTCAGATCTTGCCTTGACTTCCACATTTCCCTTAACTGCCATTTCTTAATGACATTTGGGACATTGGAAATTGGGAAGTGGAAGTGCTTTGATATCTTCTTTTATATCCTTCCCCTGCTTTGTAGGCATCAATTAGGTTCATTTTCAGATCCCTAAACATCTGCTTAGAAGAACCCATGATTAATGAGAGTTAGCACAAGGTTTGAAATGTCAGATGATTTATTACACTCTGAAATTGTCATCAGCTGACAGTTCCTAGTGCTATTCTTGACCTGCCTAATCAGTCCTAACAAGTAATTTAGGGTTCACTAACATAATTAAGTTTAGACAATGTAAGGGTGCCCAAACTTTTACACATGCCACAATTGTATTTATAGATTGATTTACACTATTTCTTAAATTAATCAAATATTAGGAAAGTCTGCACTCACATTTACAGAAAAGTGTTGCTTTTTATAATGGTTTGTGGCAGAGGTTGTTTTCTAAAAATCAACAAAATATCATTTGGCCAGGTTTGCCCAAACCTTTGCATACGACTATGTGTTTGCATTAGGGCTGTCACTGCTGATTATATTAATAGTTGAGTAATTTACCGATTACTCGATTAATCATCAAAACAATCAGAGGAAAAGCCCCAACATTAAAAATGGACTAAACCAAACAATTACAGAATTTCAGAGTACCTTACTGTAAAGATAAGCTAGGAAGCCATTAAAAAGACATTAAAACAGAGTCAGAGAGTGACTAAGCCTGGTCCTGGAAGACATTTTCCGTTCAGTCGAGAATCAACCTTTAGAGTATTCCAGGACAAGTCCCGGTCTGGAAAACTGAAACCTATATGGCAAAAAAATTACACAAATGGGTGTGTCCAGCACGTTCTCTTTCTTACTGTAAGACAGCCCAGTAGGAGAATTTAAAATATGCATTGTCTTCATGCAAGGTGCCAACTAATAACTGCTGATTCATCGAGAAGGTAGATTAAAAAAAAATAATAATAATCAAGTAATTATGGCAGCCCTAGTTTGCATTGATGACGCATACTACCACTTGCTATCCAGTTGGATCTGGTAGGAAGTAGCCTTTCTTTTTAGATTAAATGTCTTTCTAAGACATTAATCTGATGGTATGTGTAATGAACATCCTCTACAGAGCCTTAGCTAAGAATGTGCATGTTCTTTCCCCACATTCGTGCCAATCTGCACTGGGGATTTTATTCTGCAGTGTGCTTTCTGAAGGCCATCTCTGATTCTAGTTATCCCTGCACTAGTCTGCTGTGTGATCTTTCTCTTTCCCATTTTTTGTCCCCTTGTGCTCCAGACACTTTCAGTCCATATGTAAAATTGATCAGACTGCGTGTTAGCTTAGCAGCCTGCTTTTCCTGAAGTTCTTTCTTTCTCTTTCTTTCTTGTCAGCCTGTCTATCTGGGTGTCTCTCTGGTTCATATTGGTTTATTTGTGGATAATGCTGCTTGTCACTCCACCTCCTCGACTGTGGCCAGCTGTGAAATTGCACTGCATGTGTTCTCCGTTCACCTTCAGAAAGAAAAAAGGGAGGGATAGAAGAAGGAGACAGAATGAGAACAAGGGAGGGCCACCTTTGTCTCCTTTTCTAAGAGCTAAACTTTCCCAAGCTGTGAAAGCTTCTCTGACAAGTTCTGGCTTGGGTGTCTGCCAATGAATATTTGATTTGGGACTTGATTTACTTGAAGAAAGAGACTTTCCGGAGCTGAACAAGAAGCATGCTGCTAGAGGATGGACAGAGGAAAGAACAGCTTCACCGTTAACAAAAAATGACATGGAGAAATAGCATGTGTTGCACTGGAGATGGAGGAATTCAGTGATTGAGCTTTGTTACTGTTGTAAAGCTCAT